TTCTCCAGCAGCTGTCTTCAGGCTAAACGCAGGTCTGGGCTCTGCTGGGTGGGAAGTGAACAGGGATGGAAAGCAGCAGGTCCCTGCTAACTGTAACTGCTGTGGAAGGGTGGGCTACTCCCAAGACAGCCATGGATCTGAAACAACCACCATAGCACTCTTCAGACGTACAAGGAAGGAGTGAAAGAATGGCAGCTTACTATGAATTCTCAAATATGAGAAGAAACCTTAGCCCAGTTATGGGAAAAGGGTAATGTTTGTCCTGAATATCTCATCCTAGGAGCCTGCAAGCTCGAGTGACCAGTACAGTGGAGACACTCTCTAAGGCACCCATCATCTTACACCTTCTGACCATGGACGAGGATCCCATGCACACACACTGCCCTCTCTTACAGTCGTTTCTTTTGTGAGTCATTCTGTGAGTCATTCAGGGATTTGTTCATCCCATCCCCCAGAATTACTGTACTGCACATAAGACACTCGGTGATAGCATGTTTCTCTCGGCTCTTCTCAGGTTTTCTGTCATTTAGGTAAAATTATGCTGCGCTCCCTTAAACAGATGCAGAAGGAGCTTCTGCCTACAGAACAGTAATGTCCTTAAGCGACTTTGATGTCATATATATCTAAGTAACACATTAAGATACACAGAATATAAATATAAATGTACATGCCCTCTATAATTAAAGGAACATGTCCACACGCAAAACATTTTTATCTTGTGCCAAATGATGAATTCCACCCTGAGGTAATGAGTCAGGTAAAACATTAACATAATTTGATGGTATATCTCAAATTCTGAACAAAATTCATTTCTATCACAAGTTTGGGAGAGTGGCTTGAAGTTTTCACTTAATTTAACAACCACCCACTACTGGACTCATTAAAATCTCCTGTCTCAAGCACTGCCTACAATCATACATGATCCTGTATGTGCAATGAATGCCAGATAGTTCATGTCATATTACTGACACTGAGCATCATTACCATCAAACATCTTGGTGGTTTTGCTCCTATTCCAAACAAATATCAGCACGGCTACACCTATTGACTGTGACTCATGCCACCAGGCTCAGGAGAGCTAAAGGATAAGGACCAAACTCCATCAGAGGCTGACTGCACCCTCAGCATCTGGAAAGGAAACACATTACCAAGGCAAAGAGGGCAGCTCACATCACTGCTGCCTCTTACACTAGCTATCCTGTGAACAAGCAGCAGGTTTATCAGTTTTATTTGCCAGGCTGAAATCTTCCTCATTCTCCCACCTTTCCTTCCAAAATAATTTAAAAATCCCATTTCTTCTCAACATATATACCTCTTGAGAAACCAGGTCACATGCACGTCACCTTTAATTTAATATCCCCCACTGATTTTAATGGCTGCAAGATCAGGATCCCAGGAGGTAACGTGTTTGAGCTAACAGAGTCAGTGAGTAGCTTTCCTCCCTGCCTTCCCCCTGCTGTCAGCAAACATCTATAACGGCAAGTAACACTGCTAACAGGTAAACTGATACCTTGCTACTGGGCAGCTGACAAGACTTTTAATATATAACTGAAACTAGAGAATGGTTATACAACACTCCTAGTTCACTTCTGCTCTGTTATAGCTACTAATTCCTCCCCCTTGGTGTTTTCCCTTCCAGAAATTCAATACAGAGCCAACACTTCCGTAGTGCAACATCCATGCGCTTCCCTCAGGCACTTCCACTGAAACCAAGTGTGTCAGCTGTTATCAGGGCAGGAAGCATCCATTTCCATCACTACACCGTAAATGAAACAACATTGCTTCCCTTCCTCGTCTGATACAATCCGTTTTGATACTGCAACATTTTACAGTGCCTGCATGTAGCAGGATTTCTGAGAAAGCATCAAATACTTGTGCTGATAGAGAACTGGTTTGATGCTTCTCCGCAAACATGGTAGCGCAAAGCCAGCTCTGGACTCACCTCTTAACCCATGAGGCTCCAGTGTTTGTCCCTAAGTGGCAGTCGACCCTCATGATATGGAGTTAATTATAAAACAACATTTTTCAACAACACTGAAGACAAATATTACCAAGCACATCGCTTCTGAGCTGAGTACAGAAAATAATTTACAGGGATCACTTCTACACTTAGTTCTTATTTCATTATCGTTATTAACAAACTGACTTTGTGCAGGCTGGTGGCATCACCAGGATGCTGCAGAACTGCATGCTACATTAGGAAATAGCTGCTCCAGAAATTTTCCACCAGAGTTGCCCCCCGCATGCAAGTCACCCACTCCTGGAGCCCAAATTCCAGCAGTGCTCAGCCAAATATTGTCCACAGAGCGGCAGGTGCCAAAAAGCACTCAACCTTTGCTTGTATCCGACCATGATCAACTCAGATTGCAGGAACAGCTTTCAGAGCTGTGAAAACTCATCTATAAAAATTTGCTTTGGACTGAAGTGATTTAGATTATGTATCAAAGCCCGTTAGTCATTCTCCTCAAAAAATGAAGATGAAAAATTAACCTTGGCTGTGATGAAATCTAATACTCCATACGTGAATTACAGCATTATCTGAAAGCTCCAAAGACTGTACAGGTTTTTTTCTTGATAGATGCTGTACAAATGTGAAAAGAAGGACATAAACTGAAGAGTTTCTAACTTAGTTTTAAAAAAGATCCTTTAAAGATGCTTAACAAGAAAAGGAACTGCGAAAGAAGGATGAAGCTAAGGGAGCACCTGACTCCAAATGCTTGCTGTGAGCACAACTGCTATTTATTCACTTGCACCACAACATGTCTTACATTTCCAAGGCAGGAGGAAAGGGTCCAGCGCTCAAAGAAGCCTGACAGTGCCGGAGGACACAGTGGTGGGTAGGAAGAGGACAGGCGCAGCTGTAGTGACCCCAGTAGCAGGACGAGCAGCCTGGTAACACTCCGCTGTAGGAGTGTGAACAATAAGAAAAGTTTGAAATGTCTGTATGGGTTTTGCTGTGCAAAAAAGGCATGGAAGTGACACGGGAAAGGACCGATGAATGGACAGGGAAAGGTGATCATATTTATGAAATAAAGTAAACCTGCTGATGGAGCAAAAGGCAGATGGAGGGAAATGAAACTCAATATGAGTGAGGGCTAAGAAAGATCAGGTATAAACACCTCTTTAATGTGAGACATAGACAAAAGAGTAAAATGGATCTCTGCAGGTATCTCGGATGATGGGTTATGCATTTCCCATGGACAGCATCAGGAAGACATATCTAAAAAGGAGAAAAGACTAAAAGCTCCCCAGGCAAACAGAAGAAGGGGCAAGGAGCCCCACAGGGATGCTGGTGGAGGTAGTCCCTGTGGCCCTGCCTGGAAAATGCCAGAACAAGTGGGAGGCAGAGGAGGGAGAGGCATCCAGAAGGGGTTGGAGGTGGGGGTCAAACACAAGCTGGAGGCAGGGAGGAGGGAGATGGCTCAGGGGAGCTCTGCTTGCTCAGGAAGGCTGAGCAATGTCTGAGAAGAGCAAAGGGGCTGAGTAGTGATGGGATGAGGACCTGACATTGCGGTAGGATTTTGGAAAGAGAGGAAGGATGCAGTACCTACAAAATAATATGAGTGCACAATTTAAGCAAACTCATGAGTTTTGGGTACTCTGTTATTCAAACATGTCTTGGCTGCGTCATGTTTAGACACAGCATCCCATTTATCTTGGCACAACTCAAATCCCTAAATTATCTCTGTCTTTTCAACCTCCTCACAGGAACTTTACTTCCAGCTTTGTTAAAACATGAAGTAGCCAAGGAACTGCTTTACAAACAAATACCAGCTGAGGCGAAGGCTCAAGCCTGCAGCGCGGGCAGGCCTGCAGAGCTGCCTCCGGGTGCTGCTGCCCCACACCGCCCGCTCCTTCCTTCACCACCAGAGAGCTGGTGCAACATAGGCACTTCTCAGACACGCTGGAAAGTCCTGAGACAAATACGTATGAGTTAACATATCCTACTTGCCCTGTCTACTCAATATTGTGAGCTCTCCTCTGCCAGCCCAAATTTAACCATTCTGGAACAAATACTGCTAAGGGGAAGGTGATGACCTCTGTCTGTAACACAGACAGCAAAGGGCACAGTGCTGCTCCCCACACAGTGACCCTGCTTTTCATCACTTTTATGTCATGCAAAGGCAGTGAATCCAGTGCTGTTTCCTGGCATGGGCCCTCTGCTCTCCCTTTCTGCCCCGAGTTTCCTCTTGTGCAGCAGGGACTGGCTTGTTCCCCTTCAAAAAACTGGGGCAGAAGAAGAAAATGATGACAGGGCACATGTGTTAATGATAGGAAAACACCAGCTGCTAACATGGCTCACCTACCAGTCTGCTTGAACAGCAGCAGGCCCTGAAAATGAGGCAGGTGTTTATTTTTAACATCTGTGTCAGATCTCTTTGCCTTTTAAAGAGCGTCCTGGGGCTGCCCAGGCCTCTTATCTGCTCGGCAGCGCTTCAGCGAGCCATTCCAGTGGGTGTCCCTGTAGCTGTGCCCTCCCCTCCTCGTCCACCAAGGAGCAGGAAAGCTGGTGTCCCTCTGCTGCCTCATCAAGTGCCATTTACTCTGCTAAAGTGATTCACTAAGAAATATGTGGACTACGAAAACACAGCATGTTGCAGTTTGAAGGGAAAAGCCTCATGGTGTCCACAGATGCATGCATGGTGACACATCAAGTTTTGCTTCTATTTCTCTGTGCTTCAGATATTAGACAGTCCATTAAGTACACTAAGTACAAAACTTACAAAATAAGTTTTAAAAATTTATTTTTTAATATAAAATAACTAATAAAAAAAGGTTTTTATTTCCTCAATAAAATATCCTAAGGCTAAGAGACCCTGTCTAGGAGTCCAAAGAAAATTTTAATCCTCTCATTCAAACTGCCACACAAACTGTGATGAAAGGATGCAGTGCTGGGAAATAAAGAACTTGCTGATCATATTAATCCTTCATCTTCCATTCAACTTCCTACACCAGTATCCTGTTTCCTTTCTAACAGCCAACAATGCCCCTCTATTTCTTTATGCAATCCCCCATAATGCTATCATGTCAGACTTAAAAGCAACGCTTCTCAGTAACTAAATGAATTCTCTAATTTTTGTTATAGATTATAGAGGAGCTCTGACATCTATCTGTAAACAGTGACACCGTACACCCTAAAAGCCTGCTTTTTGGTTAATCACAAAACGGCTGGTTTGCACAAAGTCCCCGCCTTTGGTTCAGTCAAAGTGAACCTGCTCTTGACAACTACCAGGAGTGCAGCTGTGGGACAGGGACGCCGAAGCCCACCTCTGAGTGCCATGGACTTTGTGCAATGATGCTTTTTGCCTTTCTCTTGCATATCTTTTTATATAGCAGACAAAAAAAATATTTAGTAAGATAGTCCTTGATTACTGAAAACCATTTCATAACCAAATTTTCCAAACCAGATGTCTTGGTTTGGCTGCGACAGAATCACAGCCCAGCCATGCCAGGCAGGCCTTTAGCAGTTTTGGGTCCGCCAGGGTAGCTGACCTGAGTGAGCTACAGGGGTAGCCCATCCCATAATGTCACGCTTATTGTAAAGAGGGAAGGTTTGCTGAGGAAGGGGAGCTCCTTTGGGGTTCCTGCTAGGGTTCCGCCTGCTCCTCCTCTGGCTTCTCCCTGCTCCTGAGGACAGCTCTCTCAGCTGCATATTCATTTGGCTGACTCTAACTTTGTATACCTTTGTTGGTATTGGTGTGGTTTCACTAAATCGTTTTCACTTCAACCCACGGGTCTCCTCTCCTTTTCCTGATTCCCTTTCCTGGCTGGTGAGGGGTTGTCAGGTAACAGAGCAACTGTTATAGTTTAGCCCTGGATACAGGCTAAACATAGACATCAGAAAAGCTTGTGCTAGCTACACTTGTTATTTTACACAAGAAAAGATAATTATAGGGAAGAATTTTGCTTTGCCTCAGAAAATCCTACGCTAGTGGTTTGTAGTTACTACACAGAAGGCTCCTGCACTACACAATTCTTTAAAAAGATCCAAATTGGTGAATCAGTTGTTTTAGATACACTGACACTTGAGAGGGTTTAAAGAACTGAAAAATGAAGTCATTCCAAGTACCTGAAGGTTTCCCTGGTAGTACTTCTGAAAGGGATGTACTAGGTCTGATTTTGCCTTCCTGAGACAAAACTCAAAAGCCCTCACAGGGAATTTTTGTCCCAGGCAAGGTGAGCAAGACTGGTATTCTTGTGCAGAGCAGTAGCAACGTGCCTAGTTAAATAAGTAAAATTCAGGTCACCTGCATACCTACATCTCTATTACTCTACAAATAATAGGGTTATCACCAACATGGTTAGTCTTACCTTATTGTAGTACTGCACCTGGACTGAGTGCCACTGCCCGTCACTGACCCCTCCCGGAACAAACGGTGCCACTGTAGTGGTTGTCTCCCCTGAAAGGGCAGGCAGAAGGGAAAAAATAAGTCAATGTCACTGCAAACTCTGCACTAAACCGAAACACAGAGAGACCCTCATTGAGCGCGGGATGCAGCTGTCTTACTTCATCTTGGAGGAATTTGGGTTTTTGTCCTGTGAGACAGTAAATATCCTCAGTTTCACGGAATTATTTTGGTGCACAAATACAAAAATAGCATCTGGCATATTTGGGTGAATTATTTTTTATTATGCTTCTGCAAAGCACGGTAGCAGATGCATTGGGTAGATAAAGCTATTGCCCAAGCAGTCAACTGGAGAAAAAATGTACAGGAATTTTTCTGCATTTCTTCCAAAAGCAGCACTTCAAGGTTTTTGTAATATGATGAGTATTGTGCTGGGATACTTTGTCAGGGAAGGGAAGCCTGCTCATTGTCAGAACTGAGAAAGTGAAATCCAAAAGTGCTCTAGTATAAAACCCATGGTAACCTTGGTCCCAGCAAAATTTATCAGTGATTAAAGAAATTATTGGCGGCATTTCAGTACTTAAATTTGAAAGCAAGTCCTTGCTATTGCAATTGGAGAGCTAAAGCTTTTAAGCTAGGTCTGAGTCAGCAGAACCAGCCCAGTAACCAGGCATATCTGTTCCGAGGTAGCAGCAAAATAAACATTCATGTTGAAAGTACATAAAAGGCTTGGCACGGAGAAGGGATTGCTAGGTTTCGACTTTTTTTTTTTTCCTCTTTGTTTTTTGTTGTTTTTTTTTTAAACAGTTGGAAAATTCTACATAATAAACCACAGGAGAAATAACTCTCTCCTGCAAGCTAACAAAGTTCATAGTACTGTTCAGCTTAAAACGTACTTTCAACTCTCTATTTCCAACAAATACTTTACCCTGTGTGAAGTATTATTCCTATGTCCCCTACTTTCGTTTAACTCCCATCTAATATACTTCTGTTACTTAAACAATACAGATTTCAGCTTAGTGTGTTTGACACCTTGCTGTGATTTTTTTTTATCATTTAGTGATCAAATATCTGTGGTAAAAATCGGGCTTTTTATTCAGCTAGCAAGTTTCTGCAAAAGGAAGATCACTGGTGGCCAACCCTTTTGCTTTGCTTTCTGCGAAAAAGTTGTTGCGACAGGTAAAACAGATCAGATGTCCAAACCTTGCGCTGTTCGTTAAAAGCCACTTAAAACTATAAAATGTAAACCATTCTCTTTCCAAAGAAAATACCATTTGTAATATACAGGACCAGACCTGCTCTCAGGTGCAGCAGTGCAAATCTAAATTTAGTTTCATGTATCTTAAAGGAGTTCCTCCACATTTTAATGTACATAAATGCAAGTAGAATTTATTAATTTTTTTTCTCATTCATCCTCAGGGTGCCTTCCAAGCAATTTGATTCAAGTTTAGACAGGTGGAGCAGAGGTACAGAAGCAAGCCTATCTCTCTGACTGCAGCATGTTTTTTCTTTACACTAATCCATTCAAAAGCCTGCCTTAAAATCTAACTTGGACAACTTTGAGGTAATAAAGGGGAAATACAACCGGATATCTTCAACCTAAAGGGCCTTGATAAGCACTTAAGCATTGCTGGTAAATCGATGGGGTTTACCATGGGGTCTGAGGGCAGTGACTGTCACTGGCGATGAGTGTGCAACACCGACGTGGGCTGTGCCTCTGCTTCTACTGCTTGCAATGTCTCACTTTTCACAAAAATAAAATGAAGAGTTGACTAGAGCCCATGTGTCTACCCTCAATATGGATAACGGGAAGTAACAGGATTATTTCCTGAGTTATGTGCCTGGTACAGATGTACAAACATCTCACTTGACCTACACATAACCCCACTTGACCTACGTGACAACAGCCCTTCCCAGATGTTTGTTTCTGTCCCAGCGGAAAACATCCCCTAAACCCTGCTGAGATTTAGTAAAGCCACCCAAGCCTTCCCAACAAA